TGGGCTATGTATCTTCACTGATTCTCACCCTCTTCTCTGATGTGTTACTCCTAAACAGAGGACTGATGTACCCCAAATCCTAGGCACCAAAATAGCAGAAGACAATATCCCCTAAACCTGGAAAGCAATTCACCGGCAAATATACCAAGACATCAGATTGGGGCACATTGCTTCTTTCACTATATAATCAATGCCTGTGCTTTCCTCATTATGTTACTCAACAGTTTGCTCTTTTCCTAATTTTCATCCAGGTTTCTAACCATTGCCTCCATAATCAGACCTTTCCATGCGCCCTTTTGGCTCAACCACGCACCAGATTTCTACCTTTCTCTGTTTGATCAACCAATACCACACTTCCAACCCACTCTGAAGTGGATAATTCCTATTGTTACATAAAGTATACAGGATGGGTAATATTAAGCTTGGGAATGAATGCTTGTTTCTCAGAGTTCCTTAGCCTCTTAACATCTAACCTTTCCCTCTTGCAGAAAAACAATGAAAGACATTTCAAACAGCAACCTCTTGATGACTGAGTGTAGCTCAGTGGTTGAGCGTCGACCTGGGATGCGGGAGATCGAGGTTCGATTCCTGGCCGGGGCATATGCTTGGGTTGCAAGCTCGATCACCAGTAGGGGGTGTGCGGGAGGCAGTGGATCAATTATGACTCTCTCATCATTGATGTTTCTATCTCTCTCTCTCCCTCTCCCTTCCTCCCTCTGAATTCAATAAAGATATATTTAAAAAACAAAAAACTATAACCTCTTACCTAGGACACCAGTCAGTTCTCACTGAGGGCTGGGCAGGAGCAAATCCTTGACAAATAAACTCATTTACCAACAATGGCCCTTGGCTTTTTTCTACTCCATTCCACTGCCCTTGATTGCCTTCTTATAACCCTCAAAATGGTTCTTATCCTACAGTATGCATAAGCTTCCAAAACTTCCTTCCCCATCTAATTAACTTAGAACAGATAGGCTAATCTCGTGAGCTTCACAGTTTATGTCTCACATGCCATTTTAACGTGGGCAATTGGCAAGCAGCCTTTTCATTCAGTTTTTCAGAGAGCAGGTCTCTGGTTAATTGGTTTCTCACAGGGTATGGGTAAACAGTTCTAAAACGACTTTACATATATACAAGATTGAACAAATAAGTAAATAGCTGTTAGATGATAGGAGTCAGGTTTCTAATTGTCAGAGAAAAGAAGCCACAAATAGACAAAGGGAGAATGTTAGAATGAACTCTTGAGTATCCAGAGACATCAATATGAATTTTAGTTTAGCCTAATCTACATACAAATAGACAGGCAAAGAAATAATTATAAACACATGTGTATACGTAGATTAGTTATACATACCTATATTTCCTAGTTATGCCTGCTGAAAGGGCCTGGAAGCAGTGATATCACAGTAGCAATAAACACACCAAGAGCCCAGGTCTTGTTTTCTAAATACCATTTTCCAATTAATGAGCCAAAGCTTCTTAGAGAAATGGCAGATTCTAGAACTGGGCTTTGAAAATACAAGGTAAGAACTGGGGCATCTTTTAGGGTTAGAAAGTTAGGAAATGCTCAAAATTTAAAATATTGGAGAGACAGGGACCAACCTGAAAGAATTCAAGTGGCCAAAGCTGAGAACAATGTGAGCATAAAACTCTTACCATTGGTCTGTTAAAATAAAATGTTACAAAGTTAATGGAAAGAGAGAAGACAACATCAATGTAAAACTGCTATTAAGGAAAACAGAAAACAAAAATGGAAACATTTCTGTCAAAAAAATTCTCCCCAAAGGGTAATACAACACTGCAACTTTAATTAAAATGTCTGTAAACAAACACTTTTACATATGAAAAATAGCTTGTATCAGGCATCTAAAAACTTAGCACATAAGTAGATGAAACAAAAACAAAACAAGCAAAAAAACAACCCAGGAAGGTAGGAAATAAGGGGTTGACAAACGTAAAAAACTGAAGAAAGGGATAAAAGTCATCTGAGAAATAAAGATTGTACAACATACACAAGACAAGAAATTCAACTAAACTATAAGAGGTATTGAGAATAAGAATGAAAAAAGCCAGGACACCAAAAATAAAATGCAAAAAGTAGAAACAATAAGAGAGAAAAAGATTAATAAAGAAGATGGGCAAAGAAATTCTGAATATATAATAATTGGAGTTTTTCAAAAGAAAAGTAACTAATCTTAAAAATTACAATCCAAGAAAACTTTGTGTCAATAAAAGGAAACCTGAATCAACATAAAAAGGGACCATCATATGCCCAGTAATAGTGGCCCAGAATAGTCTTGGAAATCAGATGTTTGGTGCCCTCTAACTAAGAGTCTCACTTCCACCTTTTCACACCCTCTCGCTAACGATCTTTAGGAAGTGAACTCTTTCCCACCTCAGACACTGGACACGACCTTACCTGATGGGCATACTCTTAGAGAATGTAATTTTAATGGTAGAATTTTAAACTTCAGAATAACTTCCTCTGGATAAAACCTTCCTTGAACCCCGCATGCCATGCCCATTCTAATTTTATCTGGGCCAAGGCCCATTTCTTGGTGACAGATACTAACCTCGGCACCTATACCCAACCCTTAATCCAGACAACTTCCTGTGGCTTCTTCTTCTTCTCCTTTTAAAAATATCTTTCTATTGATTTCAGAGAGACGGAGGGAGAGGGAGACAGGAACACCAATGAGAGAGAGTCATTGATCGGCTGCCTCCTGCACGCCCCCACTTGGCATCAAGCCCAAAACCTGGGCATGTGTCTTGACTGGGAATCGAACCCTGACCTCCTGGTTCATGGGTCGATGCTCAACCACTGAGCCACGCCGGCCGGGCTTCCTGTGGCTTTTTAATTAGGCATCCTGAGTTTGTTATGACACAGACAACTACCAGATGCAGGGTGGGGCACACTTTGCCGGTAAAGAAATCGATATGGATCCACCTCTGAGCACTGGGGGCAGCCAAAGGGTGGAAATGAAGCAGGAGTTGACCAACATCATGATTTATGAGATGGGAGATGCTTCTAGAGTACTCCCATCTGTATTGACATAGGGAGGAGCAGGTGTGGAGTATGAGAACAAATAATGCAAAACTAGTGGAGACCATGAAACTAAGTGTTTTGCAGGCTGAGACTTAATATTTTGGAGACCAGGTCACGGCAGAAGTTGCATTTGCTTCTTCCACTGCCTCCATAAGACTCAAGGTCTTCCAGGGGCCACACTCTTTAATCCACCTAACATGGAGCTGTCCCAATAAGACAGAACTTGCAGTGAGGACTCCAGGCAAGAACTCCTCCAGCCATAGCATTCCCGGTGTGGTCTCTGAGTTCCATGGAGCAGGGGCAGTGTCCAGACAACTCTCTGGAACATGGGTCAGGGCACCGCTTATCACAAGGAAGAAGAACAACTGTTTCCAGTATAATTCACGGTCCCTGGTTCTCATGCCAGGGGCAAGGAATAGGTGAGCCTGGCACCCACAGTGCATCCACCTGGTGGTGAGCACTGGACTTGGTCGTGGGAGGTCATTCCCTCTGTGTGACCTGGCAGGTAGCCTTGCCTCTCTTAAGAGTCTCTCCTAGGTGTTTGAGACACGGCCAAGTGCTGTGGAGATGCTTGGAGAGTGAGGTTTCTGAGCAAGCACATTATAAGAGCTCCTGAAGAGCACCCCTTTCTGCCCATCTGTCTCTGATGTCTGTTAGTGGTTGGCCATGCCCTCTTTCCCAAGGCCCCCTTGCCCAAGGGCAGCTCTTAGTGGAGAATCTCAATACCAGGAGCCCTGTGATGCTCCCGAGGTGGGTGAGAGGCTCTGGCCTGATGGAGGCGGCTTTCCTCCTCTGGTGTCTCCTGCGTCGATGCCCAGCAGAAAGCACTGGACTGGAGTGTCACACTGCACACCTGCCTCCAGCATGGCCTCCTGCCCGAGTTCTCCACACTTGACGCCACGTTCCAATTGGCTGCACATGACTCAGCCCCTGGATCTAGCCCCAGGACCGTTTCAGAGGGGCTGTGATTGCACAGGGTCGTCGTAGGGAGGCTGTCCCCCGGTGATTCATTCTCACTGACTTGCCGTGAGACCATGGACAAGACTCACAGCCACCCTGTGCCAGTTAATCCTTAACAGCATCACAATGGAACCACCAGTCCCCACACCCCGTGGCTTCCCTCTGGGTTGAAAAAGGGAGAGAGAATGAGGCCATAAGCAGGAAGATTTGGAAAGGGAGGGACAGCTCAGTTAATGGAAGGCACTGGCGTCTCGGATCCTGACACCCTGCTCCAGGCCTCTCGGTAAGGGCGGCCGTCCTGGCGGAGGAGGGAGTGGGGAAGTTTGGGGTTGGCACAGGCCCTCACCTCCATGCCTGTGGCGTCACCACAGTGGAGAAGAAGTGAGCAAACAGGGAGTTCAGAGGAGACACCCTCCCCTGGCCATATCATGAATGATCTCTCCCTCTCTTTGGCCTTGGGCATGTCACTGAACTGCTCTGGGACTCCTTATAAAGGGACAGTTACCTGAACTTTACAAGGAGAGTGGGGAGAAAGGGACAGGGGTGGGTCAAGTCAAAGAAGAGGCCTCCACCTAGCTCATGGTTCACTTGGCCTTGGGCCTCCAGCATGAGGACGTTCTCTTTAGCACCGGGGACACCACACATGAGCAGTTTCTCCCCCTGGGAGCACTGAGTCAGTGAGCAGAGCAACAAGGGGGCTGAGCCTCTGCGGGCCTGGCAAGGGTGCATGGGCCGAAGGGAGAGAGAGGAGAGGAGCATGACAAGGGGAGAGGGACCCAGGGAGGCAGGGGCACCTGGGGTCTGCCCTGGCTCTCAGTGATCGCAAGCTCGGAGAATAAGAGGCAGGTCCCTGGGCATTTGTTCCGGTTTATTTGCAGGAACAAGGTGTCCAGATAGTGGGGATGTGGCATTGCTGTTGACAGCCCTGTGCCTGAGACTGGAGGTCCTTGTTCTCTAGCCCAGTCTTAAACGGAGGGCTGGGGGCAGGATGCACTCAGAGAATGTTCATGCAGATGCTCCCGCAGAAGCTCAGACAGCACACGTTATTGGCTTGACATTCTCTGTGATGTTTACAGGGGCGATGGCACAAGTACCACTTGACTTTCTTCTCACATTCCTTCATTTCTTCCGGTGTCTCTACATCTGAAACTGAACAGGAACAGGGTCAACGACACGCCCCTCCCCCAAGCACCCTTTTAAAGCAAATAGCCCCCTGCAGGACCCCAGACACCTCCCACTCATGACATTCTTAGATTTTTAAGAGAACTCACTTTCTGTCCCTCATCAGATCCTGGTGATAGGTAGTATCTTCAGTCTCTTACCCACATTCTCCACCAGCAGAGTTCAATGCTTGGGCTTTCTGGACCCTCTCAACACTCCTCAGCCAGGACCCTGTCTGTCCTACTAGTCATGGCCTTGGTGAAGTCACTCGCATAGAATCTACAGTCAGAGCAGTCTGAAACGTCTGTAACCCCTCCCCCACTCTCCAGAATTTACAGGGGCCAGAGAAGAAGAAGATTAGCACACCTCTCCACCCTCTCTTTCCTCTTGTCACTGTGTCTGTAGTATCTCTGCCCCTCCCCCTAAAATAACACTTGTAATATTTCCCTCCTACTGTCATCATCCTGGTCCTCTGATAATAATTTTAACTTGATCCTTTACATCCCAAAATTTGCTTTCCCAATGTCCTTTAATTCTAGACCTGTTCCCACAAACATCTCTGGATGTTGACCTGTCACAAGTGTGCATAATCCAAAGGATTGATTCTCAGCTCTGCACACCTTTCACTACTGTATGTACCATATGTCTCTGGGTTTGGGGAATGGAGACTAAAAAGATGTAGGTTCCTCTCCACCCCTATCACTAGTCCCAGGGCCAGTAAAGGGGCTGGAGCCATGGTCTGGGAGGACCCAGAGCCTTCAGAGTGCTGTGGTCAGAGCTGGATGTGCTAAAAAGTTTCAAGTCCCAGGCCGTCCTT